TGGGGGTTTGGGGTTTGGGGTGTAGCCCCTCTTACAAGAACAGCAAGCCCTAAGGTCTAAACCCTTACTCTCAGACCCTGAAAAAGAGTATCAAGCCCTTGAAAAATCCTAAACGGCCCTAAACCCTANNAACCTTAAACCTTAAGCCCTAGACCCTAAACCCTAAACCTTAAACCCTAAACCTTAAAAGGGGATAGCCGTCTTAACCGACACTCTGGTCAATCATAACCGAGACTCTCGATTCTTGAGATTTCAGATTGAAGTTGGGGGGTCAGGGCTTGGGTTTATCGGGCGGCCGAGAGGCATCTTTGCTCCAGGCATGGAAGCTGCTTGCAATATGAATATATGGCATTTAGTGGATTGCACTCTAGAATCTAGAATGACAGACTGCAGGTGTGCTAGCGCATAACCTTGCATAGTGCACACTGCCTCTGAAGCCATGTCGAGTTCAGAAACTACAGACCTGGATGCGCTAGAAAGTTCGGAGTCGGGCTCGTCGGCTACAGACCTGGATGCGATAGAAAGTTCGGAGTCGGGCTACAGTGGCTCCTCGGACGAGGAGTATTCAGAGTACAGCCAGTGCTTCGACTCCAGCTCCAGTGATGTGGATTTACCGGACTGGAAGGAGGCTTGTGCCCGCACCAGGCAACCTAGCCAATTAAGTGTTGTCTTGAATCTTACTTGAGGTGGGGTCTTGTGACGCTGATTGCTTCAGTGGCAAACTCAGGCGCGACCCCTACAAGAGGCAGACACTGAACACGAAGCAGCGAGAGTACATCCATGGGTGGGCCAACTCTATGTTGTGCCGTACTGGACACTTAGAAACATTAGGCATGCGGTTGCAAGCTTCATTTTCCGCTTGGCAAGCTGCGTGTTCAATCGAGGAATGGTGCAAAGGGTGAAACGCTTTCTGAAGTATGATTTCCCTGTGATGTCGGATTGTGCCTTGGGTTACAATTTAAGGCATGGTCGCTTCAGGATTGTTTGCTGGGCACTTTCTACCGATGTCGAGGTTCGGGCGCGGAGGGCGGCATTCTGGCTTTGCAGGCCTTGGGAGTCAAGGCGAGGACCACGTAGTCTGATATGAGGACTCGCACTAGACCTACAAACATTTGTAACATCTGACGAGGTGGACCACGTCTCCAGCTCGGAGATCAACTGTATAGCGACTGATTGGATCGCTCGGAACTTCCGTCCGCGTGTGCTACTTGGTATGCCTCAGTCTCGTCGTTCTGCTACCCTCTACCCGAAGGCTACATAAACATAACACTCTGTAACCCCAGCTGCCTGCGTGGCTATATAAGGTTCTACCCGAACGTCCTCGACCGGACTTTGCATCGAGAGAACTATCGAGTCGGTGCCCTCATTGCTGGCTTTCCATGCCAGCCGCTGCTTGGTCAAAGCCTGTCAAGTTGGAACATGTCAATAGCAGTCGTCAATGAATGTACATCGGATTCAGGTTCAGTGTTTTGCGGCACGAGTCTGATCTTCTCGGGGAGAAGGACTCGGAAGCCTAGTCTCTAGGCTGAAATTCTTCACTTGATGCTGTCGGGCAGCCCACAGGCCGCGGAGCCATTCTACGCCATCGTGAAGACCATCGGCGAGTCCCTTGGCTCCGTCTAGCTTGTCTCCCGTTAAACTAGTGAAGAATGTGCTCAGGCTACGGGTTCCCCTGTATATCCTGGAGAATGTCATGGGCATCAAACAATGCCTCGGGGAAGTGAAAGCTGAGCTAAGCAAACTGAAAGGGTATGTTCATGGAATCCTGGAAATTGACAGCAAAGCCATCGGCGACGTTGTGAGCAGACCACGAATGTACTTTATCGGCCTCCACAGGCCAGTTCATCATCTTATTGCCACAAAAGCCCGCAAACCCTGAACATCATGTGACTCCGTCAGATTCAATGAATCCCTCGTTTTTTGTGCAGGACCGTCACAGCCCCTGGAATCACTTCGGATGCGAAGCTACAGAATGCCCTGGACTGCATCCTCGCAAAGGCTAAGAAGAACTGCACCCCACCAACGCCTTGGCATGAGCTGCTACTGGATGATCCGGTCCAAGAGGCGCCAATCAAGAGGCGGAAGCGAACCAACTTCGATTTGCGGTATGAGAAGCTCGGCCTTGCATCTGATTAAGTGCTGCATGTCACTTGTCAGCCGATAGAACTCGAGACTACGAGCTATTGAGGCCTCTTGATACAGATTTGCGATGGCCTTCCATGCACTTCAAGTTTATGAAGGACCACAAGGCCCAAGTGTAGGGGTTCCCGACTTCCGCAAATTGCGCCATGCCCCCCCCCCCCCCCCCCCNNCCCCCCCCCCCCCCCCACCACTACCAGGTGAACCCGAGAAAACTGATTCGATCGGACTCCGCCCGTGCGTGCTTCCCCGACCAGAGGCGGCAGCACGTACTCCGGACTGTTATGCTGGTGCTGTTGTTCTCTGTCAGCAACAACTTGGGAAGGGGCAGCTAAGGCAATCGAGGTGTTGGCGACCTTGCACGGTCGGAAGCGGCCTGCGGTTGTCAACGTGAGCCAGCAGATCCACCGGATGCACGTGCAACGTAAGTTCATCCCTTGCTTGACGCCTGGAAGCAACCTGTACTTGCTTCACCGCGGACGCTGTTTGACAGGCCAGGTAATGAATGTCTAGTTAGTAAGTTACTTAGATACGAAAACGCTCAGTGTTGCTTGCAGGCGTGGAGATGATGCTCTTTCAGGGCTTTGACGTGAGCCGGCTCAACCTGTACGGTATGGACGACAAGGACCGGGGGTCTTGTTCCTTATCTGCCTCATCGTCAACTTAATATGCATAGCAGTGGGCCGATCAGGTGGCACGTGTCTATCATCAACTTCATATTAATTAATTCTGATGATACTGGCAAGGTGGTGTTATTCTCCACGGTTCTGGTGGTGTGTCATTCCGTAATTTTCTGAGACAGGGTTGTTTTGGTGATATACTACAGGCTTGAGTTTCGAATCTTTGAAAGTTCGGCAGTCAATAACTATCATGTGTTTTTTCACAGCATCGTGGGGATTATAGAAGTAGATCTAAATTTAAATTTCCATGGTTTTGAAATTTGGCTGTTCGGGTATCTGGGTCTTCCTGGGATTTCTGTGTTACTCGAATTGGACTTCGGGATTTATAGAGGGGGGGGGGGCAGATTGCTTAAAACTTGGCATTGGCCGGACCGGGTTGCTTTGGAGGTCTTTTCACGGTTGCGCTTGCACGGGGATCGTGTCGTGTTATTCTTGGGGTCTAAGCCTGGGCATTACCGGTATTACACGATTGAAAAGTAGATTCGTAGTCTCATAGTATGACATTGATCGGAAACTGGTTGCGACATGCAAGGTTCTGGGCAGGGCTCGATTGATTTAATGGCATCTTTGGAAACTTCTAGCTGTTATTCTGACTTTGGGATGTGGGTCTAGGTTACTGATATGTTTAATGCTCGTCTTGGTTTGTTTATTCCAGTTGCTGGCAAATTACCTAAGTAGGTTTCAACGTTTAATGGTTCCAGGTTTCACTCGGCAGGCGTTCTCCGGCACCTATAGATTAGTAGGACTTCAAGCCTGAGGTAACTGGAAGGTTTCGTCATGCATCTTGGACACCCATGGGTTCTAAGTCTGATTGATGCTGTGGGGGTATCCGGCTGCTAGCAGTTTTGGCTCGTCGAGGTTCACCGGTCCGAAATAATTTAATTGAGTCTGACATAATGACACATTGCTAAATTTATTTTGTTTACCAGCCAAAGCGCTGGTGACAAATTAAAGACGGCACCAGTCCCAAGCTGACTCATTCTGCTGGCTGTGTCGCTGTCGCAATCTGCTGTGAAACACGACTGACTGTGATTGACTTCGAACTCAGGCACTCTTCGGCTAAAAAAAGAAATACTATTTACGATTATTTAGTATGTAGCTGCGTCGTGCCGTGGTGCTGAACACCTTAGGTTGTGCGCGGTTGGCTTCTCGTTCCTGCTGGTCATGTAATGCAGTAACACAGTAACCGTAGCCGCGGAAGACCGTATCATGCGCCGGTGCACGTGGAGTCCGATAACTAATCATGCTTGAAGTCTTCAGATGATCATCGGCCCCGAAGTTCCATTCGCCCTGCCAGGACTTGAGGAGGTTGGCAGGGAATGTGTCGAAGCTGCAACCAGAGAGTATGTTTCCTGTGTCCGTGGGTTCTCGCTTGGTCGGGCAAGTTATTGACTCTATAGTTGAGGCGATGAACCTACGGTCTGCAGCCTTGGCATGGCTTGCAGCCTTTAGTGCTGCAGATCTGGACCGCCTCCAGGAGGAGATCCATGCTCGAGGCTGATGCCGCTCCGGTTTGCAAAGCGTCTTGTGCACTTGTTGTGCATTGTGGGTCGGGTGAAGTTTGTGTTGCTGGCTCTGAGGACCCATGCTTTATGCCATGGCAAGGAGTGGGCAGATCGATGATGGAAGCGCTCCGGTTTGCAACACCTCTTGTCATTGTGTACATGCTGTGTCCTGTGGGTCAGGTGAAGTTTGTGTTCATGGCTCTGAGTCCGAGGATTCGCTCTTTTTTGTTCATGGCGATGAGTGGGCAAATGGATGCTGGAAGTGCTCCGGTTTGCAAAGCTACTTGTGCACATGCTGTGCCTTGCAGGTCTGATCTATCTTCTCGGGTTAGTCTGAGGATCCACTCTATATGGCAATGACTGGGCAGATCGATGCTGGAAGCGCTCCGGTCTGCAAAAAGCCTGTTGTGAACATGCTGCGTCTTGCCTGTCATATGTTTGTGCCGTGATGTTTGTCCTTTCTGAGGACCCGCTCTTGTAGCGATGCGTGGCTGGAAGTGCTCCGGTCTGCAAAACGCTGTAGTGGACATGCTGTTTCTTGCGGGTCATTTGTCGGTGGAGCTTGTGTTGGAATCTCTGAGGACGCACTCTTACGGCTATGAGCGGGAAAATCGATGCTGGAAGCGCTCCGGTCCGCAAAAGCCTGTTGTGCATATGCTGTAGCTTGTGTTTTGTTGTTGGGTTGGTGGGTGTAGGGAAACTAGGTTTGTGTTCATGCCTCTGAGGACCGACTCTTATGGCTATGACTGGGCAGAATCATGATGGAAGCGCGCCTGTCTGTGGTGTCAGGAAACAGGCTACTGCAGCTCACACGTGTCAGCCACATGAGAGAGTGTGTTGCAACAAAAAATGTGTCCCAAAACGGAGCCAAGAGAAAGAGAGACAGAGAGAGAGAGAGAGAGAGAGAGAGAGAGAGAGAGAGAGAGAGAGTGAGAGAAAGACAGAGAGAGAGAGA